AATGCCCCAGGGCAAAAAGCATAAGAGCTCAAACGCCAGCTTACACTGAAAGGTCACTTCGACCTGAGGCATAAGAGCCATTATCGCCAGCCTAATGAGCCCCAGGGCCATATCGCGAATCTAAGGATTCCTACCGAATCAAATACCAGTTCACCTAGCCAAATTCGAGACAAAAGAGATACGGAAGAAATAAAGCCGCAAGGGTTTCCTTATACACATATACGAAAAATGCAGTCTCCATCTACAAACATGCTTTGAAAATACTACATACAGATGGCAAAAATCTACGCTCCCCCTGGGAGTTACGGCCTGCCGGTCTCATCTTCGCTTTCTCCAACGTCAGACAGAAGCAACCGAGCATCGCGCTCATCCGCCCTCACTCGCGTTAACTCTTCCGAGAGAACAAATCCCCTAGCACAGATCTCCTCGAGAGTCTTCCTTCGAGACTTGCAATGAGCATACTCTTTAATCCTCTATTCACGGTCGAGGATCCTTCTCAACTCGGCTTGAGCATCAGTAGCATCCTTTGAGTAGATCGCAATCTCCTGGTCAGCCTTAGTTTGGTTCATTACCGCTTCTGCTTGGGCATCAATGACCTCGGCCCTTACATTGGAAAGCTCGGATTCGAGCTTCGTGATCGTGTCCGCTTGAGCTGAAGCATTGTCACAAGCTAAGCGGATTTGGGCCAGGAAGTCGGGAACTTTAGCCAGCGCATCCCTCTCCTCTAAAGACTGAACCTTCGCCAGAGCTCTTAGCTCATCATGTTTACTCTTGGCTCGGCCGGCTTCATCCCGAAGACGCTCCAGGGCCTTTGTCTTTTTCTGCAACTAAAATAAATAAAGTGTTAACCTCAGAAACCAGAAGGCGGGATACATACTCACCCGGGACGAAAGGCTACCTGCTCCTTCAAAAAGCTCTTGTAATTCAAGCTCCGGCTCGCCTCATACCGCAAGTGTTCCAGCTTGGCTTCCTTTTCATTGCAAAGGAGCCTAAGGGATCTCTCTTCTTCCAGAGCTTTTTGCAGCCGGGCTTCATGATGAAACAGCCCGGACTTAAGCCTGTCGAAGGCTTGAAAAAGAAAACCCAATAAGAAAGGCAAGGTGCGAGATTCAAAGGGCCTATGTTGAAACACACCACGAAGTGAAGCTGCTAGGCTTCCTCGAAGGCCGAACGTGCATCCATTAACCTAGCTCCCTCAGCTCTAAAGAATCGACTCCGGTCGAGACACGGTCACTCGGAGTAGGCGACCTCGAGTTTCTAGTATCCCCTGAAACACTATCAACCGAATGAGAAGGCAGTGGCAACGGAGAAACCACCTTTCCAGAGCCGGGACGGGTACGGCAGACTCGGATGATGTTTCTGCTTCGGAACCCGGGTCCAGCCTCGCCCTGCTTTGAGCATCGTCGCCCTGTAGAGGCATCTCCCGCTTATTGTTGTCGTTCTTTAGCCCGGAGGCTAGCGACCTTCCCCCTTCTCAAAGGAGCGAGGCCTCGCCTCGGAAGGCTCTTCGATTCCTACGACAACAAGATTAACGCGTAGAAAGGAAAATTGCCTCTCCAAATGAAAGAAGGGAACTGAAAAAATAGCACAACACGCACCATGATGTTTTGCTCCCCATCTGCCCCGGGACACAACTCGCCACATGCGCTCGTCACAAGTCGAGTGGATCGCCAACCTCCGAACCCAATTTGGTAGATCGGGAACGTCACCTGGCGCCCATGCAACCGCTGCAGAAGAATAAATGATGGCACGATCACGATATCAGCCTTCGCCACAAGCAAAACTGAGAAGGTATGGAATGTGCCACTTACGTGTATAATTCCATTTCTCAGGGAATGGCGTAAGCTCCACAGGGATAATGTCAGTCGTTCGGACTCGAACGAAATGACCCATCCATTCTCGATCTCTATTCTCCTCATCATCGATGACGAAGGGCGTGGTCGACCGGCATCGCAAAGTTAATAGGCCCCGGTGATGAAAGGGACGGTACAGCCTGATGAGATGACTGAGCGTGAAGTCAAGCCCCGCCTTCTCCGCGAAAAATCTCATCATCAACACTATCCGCCAAGATGACGGATGGATCTACGCCAAGGTAACCTGGTACTTCAAACAGAAATCTAGCACAACCCTATCAAGGGGGCCCAGTGTGAATGGATACGTGTACACATTCAAGAATCCATCGACACGATCCGTGATGCCCTCATCCGGGGAAAGTGTCTGCAACACTACTTTCTCCCCCCAGCCACAGTCTTTTCTCACTAACCCAAGGTGTTCTTCTCTTATCAAAGAAGCAATCTTTGAGGTACGCTCTCGTTGGTCATGGGCACCAAAGGCGAAACTCTCCCCCCTCTGCCGGATAGACCCCGATGTGGTTGCCATGGAGGTGGCAAAATCGGAGAGCTAGAGCAGAAATTTGCGCAAGTACGTTAGCACTGAAGTAAAGTAAGGTTCAACACAGAAAAGGAAAAGTAACCGCTTGAAATAATGGGATCTCCGAAGGGGCTCAAAAGACCCTATATATGGAAAAGGCTGGGACGACCCGCCCGCCTAAAAGGCCAATGGTATCATCGCCAGTCCCGAGGTGGTAGCCGACCCCGAGGATCTCCACCAAAAAGAAGTTAGGATCCGGCAAGCCGACGGCATCGGTACAAGTCCCGAGGTGGTACCCGACCTCGAGGACCTCCGCCAAAAAGGAGTTAAAGCTCCAAAGAAACAAACATTTAAACTCTACCCATATGGTCTTGACCACAGGGTACCATCCAAGTTCTGATAAAACCTCGTTTGTGTTCTACCTACAATGCTTTAGGGCTGTCTACGCTAAGTTCAAAGCGGGTTTCCCGGTGGCTCAGGTTTGAATGAACCCCGCTCGGAGACTGCCCTCGAGAGCTCAAAGGCAGACCCTATTCTAGGGCTCCCGAGAAAATTTCCCTTGAAGAGTATTTTAAGGCCTAAAAACTGTTCTCGAAAGTCTGAACGTTCCAAGCGTTATCTTCATTCAACCCGAATTAAGGGTTCCGACGACCCGAGTCTGTCGGTCCAATCCGGGTTTGGTCCGAGGAAAGGCAAACGGTTCTGCGGGGAGCCATACTGAACAATCAAATGTCAGAGAAATGCACTCCCGCTTGGGCTCGATATCGACAACGATGGCTAGGATCATGCATGCAAGGTTTCCGTAAGCACAAATAAAAGGAAAAACAGCAAGCATCAAAGACATAACTGAAAAAACACCTTTTGTATTCATGAACACTCAATTACAACAGCCCACGAGGGGTCCTTACATATGATTACAAAATCGCACGAGGGGTCCTTACACAGAAACAAAGAAGTGAAAAGGTATACGTATAGCAGAAGCCTAAAGCCTAGCCTATTCTCCAGGGAGCATCCTCGGCGGCAGCATACTCAAGCACCACTTCCTCAACAGTCTCATCCCAGTCCCTCAAAGTAGCACTTCAGAGGAGAAGAAATACCATAGCCTGGTAGAAGGCTCGGTGGGCGTCGGCCTTGCTTGTATGGCTACTTTAAGTCCACTTCTTGGGACGTTGTGCCGTGCAAGATACCGGCCAAATATGCCACTTCACCCCAAGGAAATCAAAGAGGGTGTAGTGCACCGGGCCGGGGTAGGAGGGTGAGCCCTCGTGAGCAACGGTGTATAGTCTAAGCGTGTCCCCGAGACAGGAGAGAACGGCCTCCCTGTCTCACCATCTCGAGCCAACGATAGTAACAACAATGACAATTCGGTGCAGTTTCGCTCACCAAAAGTAAGCCTTATGAAAGAACCGCGGCACGACTGGTAAGAACGCTGCCATATAACCTTGAGGCCATAGGCCCCAAGCATGGTTGATGGCAATGGAAGAGGATAGTAAGAAGAAGGAGATGGAAAGATGTAGAAAGGCACTTGGATAAAGATATAGTGCCAGAAGGCCCCCATTTATAGTGGGTGGTAATGTGGCCATCAATGCCTTAGGAAGACGGATCGGCAGGCTCAATCAATGTATTATTGAAAATCAAATCGACGGCAGTACTGTCACTTTGGGGAATGGGAATCGGCAGGGTATTGAATGGCGCTGAAAAGACAAGTCCATGGGATATCCCGGTTATCGTGAAGGCTCGCGTCACAAGCCGGTATCATCAGTATGACGTCATCACGGGAAGACCGAAAAGTTCGATACCAAAATTGTTTCCTATCACTTCGTTCCAGGAAACGCGGGGGCTATCTGTATACGGAAAAATCGAAGGGTCCAATTTCTCATCATTAAAAGCGCTTCGGAAGGTCACCCCGAAGGCTCAAGGCCATGGTCGAGCATCATCCCTAGAGGATCAGCGACGCTCGACCTCATGGTAGCATTGATCATGGTAATGGTAGAAATGGGAAGTTCCCAAGGCATATGCCTAGGACTGACAAAGTCTGCTAGTCTACTCTAAATCCGAGCCAGGGTGTCATTTAGCTGCCCCATCTCCCTATCTTTGTAATTAATGCCTCTTGTACTTTGTTGGGATTCACCTCCTATATAAAGGGTATCCTTGTCATTTTTGTAATCTCTGTTGCTCCGCTTGCTCCGCATAAATTTACAAAGAACATTCTCTCTGCTTTCTAACATACTTTCTCGTTATTATTGCTTCCATTTATTATCTTCATACTTGTTCATCATTTATTCCTTATCATTGACCATAAAGAGCCTTCATTGATTTTATTATAACTGTTAGCCCTACCCCGATCACCCTCGGCAGCTCGTTATCGAGTCACTGACTCGACCTCGAGGCCCCATATCGACAAGCTCGAGGCCTCGATTGTCAGCCTCTTGGTTTGATTATCACCTTATCTTTAGCTCTTATTTTGTCTCTAAACTTCATACATATAGCATCATCTGCTTAACAACTAGCATAAAAATAGATCACCTATTTTTAGAGTCCCATCAAAAAATTTAATTGTTATTACCATTTTCACGGTAAACAATACTCTTCCTCCACACCTTCTTATCAAGGGACATGTCCTCGGTAAGCTAAAGCAGTGACATGTCTTGCCTAATCACCTCATGCCAATACCTCTTAGGCCTACCCTTGCCCTTCCTCAGATCTGCTATGGTCAACCTCTCACACCTCCTAACTGGAGCAGCTATGTCTCGCCTCTTCACATGCTCGAACAACCTCAACCTCAATTCTCGCAACTTGTCCTCCACAGGGGCCACTCCCACCATATCTCTAATCACTTCGTTCCTGATCTTTTCTTTCCTGGTATGCCCACACATCCATCTCAACATTCTCATTTCAGTTACTTTCATCTTCTGAACATGGGACTTCTTAATGGGCTAACAATCAGCCCCATACAACATAGTCGACCTAACCGCCACTCTGTAGAACTTTCCTTTTAGTCTAGGAGGTACATTTTTATCACACAAAACTCCAAATGGAATCCTCCATTTCATCCACCTTGATCCAACACAGTGAGTAACATCCTCTTCAATCTCCCCGTTGCCTTGTATTACAGACCCATGGTATTTGAAACCATCTCTCTTAGGGATGACTTGTGTATCAATCTTCATTTCCACTTCTCCTTCGTGCGTCCATAGCTAAACTTACACTCCAAATATTCCGTTTTTGACCTACTTAATATGAAACCTTTAGACTCCAGTATATGTCTCCACACCTCCAACCTAGTGTTCACCCCGCATAACGCGTCTCATCAATCAATACTGTGTCATATGCAAATAGCATATACCATGGCACTTCCCTTTGATGCAACCCCATATCCACTGGAAAGTGATCTGAGTCTCCTCCCTATAGTCCTCATCTTAGTCTTAGAACCACCGTACATGTCCTTAATCACCATAATGTACGCTACTGGAACACCACTAACTTCCAAATAACTCCATAGAACCTCCCTCGAGACTTTATCGTAGGCTTTCTTTAGGTCAATGAACATCATATGCAAGTCTTTTTTCCTCTCCCTATAATGCTCCACCAATCTTCTCACAAGGTGAATGGCTTCTGTAGTCGACCGCCCCAAAATAAATCCAAACTAGTTCTCACAAATAGACATGCATCTCCTCACCCTCCTCTCCACCACCCTCTCCTAAACTTTCATAGTGTGACTCAACAGCTTGATACACCTATAATTGTTGCAATTCTGGATATCACTTTGTTTTTATACAACAGAATCATCAAACTCCACGACCATTAAGTAAGTCACTCCAAGCTTGCCAGAGCCACGTCTTTCAAAAATTCCACCGGGATATCATCATGCCCAGTTGCCTTACCCCTACTCATCTGCAATGCCCCCTCAACCTCCTCAATAATAATATGCCTACAAAACCCAAAATCTCGCAACCTCCCCGAGTTCTCCAACTTGCCAAGCACGATATTCCTGTCCTCTACCTTGTTCAAGAGTTTATGGAAGTATGTTTGTCGTGTACGCCTAATACATGACTCTTCCACCAATACATTTCCATCATCGTCTTTAATGCACTTCACTTGGTCCAGATCCATAGCCTTCCTCTCTCTAACTTTGCCGAACCTAAACAGCTTCTTGTCGCCTCATTTGCCCTCAAGTTTCTCATACAAACGACTAAAAGTTGTAGTCTTAGCAGACGTGACCGCTAATTTTTCCTCTCTCCTTGCCTTCTTATAACACTCCTTATTCGCCCTCTTCTCCTCTTCGTCTGTGCTCTCCACTTTTTGTTGGACCTCCCCGTTCCACCACCAATCCCCTTTTGTGGCCTCCCGAGTAACCCTTCGTGACCCCTAACACCTCTCTGGCTGCCCCCTAATGCAGATAGTTGTCGAGGTACACATACTACTCGCATTCCCACTATTCCTCTAGGGCCCCAGAGCCAACAACTTCTCCCCCAACTCTTGAGATTTATGCCTTAGTCAAGGCTCCCCACTTGATCTTAGGTAGGTTGTACACCACTCTCTTCTTCATTATTCTCACGATCACCAAGTCCATTACTAGAATCATATGCTAAGTCGATAGACACTCACTCGGGACCACCTTGCAATCTTTGCAAAGACCTCTATCTCACCATCTACAGAGAAGGTAATCAATCTGATTCTTGGCTACTTTACTCCAGAAAGTGACCAAATAATCCTCCCTCTTCTGAAAACACGTGTTAGCTATCACCAAGTCAAAAGATTTAGTGAAATCTAACAACAAGGTGCCTCCCTCATTCCTATCCCCAAAACTGAAACAACCATGCTCCTCGTCATAACTCCTGGCAGCCTCCCCAGTATGTTCATTAAAATCACCTCCTATGAACATGTTCTCTGTGTGCAAAATACCATGCACAACCCTGTCCAGGTCTTCCCAGAAACACCTTTTGACCTCCTCATCTAGACCCACTTGCGGCGCGTAAGCACTAATCACGTTTAAAGTAAGCCCACCAACCACTAGCATAATAGCCATCAACCTATCATTCACCCTCCTAACATCTACCACTAGCTCCTTGAGATCCGTATCAACTAAAATGCCTACCATGTTCTTGCTCTTAGCACCTCCTGAATACCACAGTCTAAACTCGTCTGCATCCCGAGCCTTATTACCAGCCCATGTAGTCTCCTGGACAATCGCTATATTGATATTTCCTAACTCTATAGACTTTCCCGTTAGTGTTCCTATATTCTAGGACCCAATTCTGAGCCTAGAGGAACCCTTACCCGCCTTACCACCCCTGGCCCCCGCCTCCGCCCACCCAAGGATATTGCCTTACTTTGTCGCTCGATGATGCCACTATAGAATGCGAGTAGTTAAGTTAAAAACTACACATGTTAGCAAGGACTAGGCTAAGGACTATAAACTAACGTCCACTGAGGAAAATACAAACAAGAGAGCAAGGCTTAATATAGCAAACCAAAGGGAAAGTGGCTTAATCGACGACAACGACAAGAAATACTAAACAAGCAAATAATTAAAGAATTGAACTAACAGATAATAGGAAAGTAATGCTAGACAAGTAGAGAATTAAATACTAGAGAGTTTAACTACCAGAGAATTAAAAAACACACTTTGACGCATAAATAAAAGTGAACAACTAAGCAGTAGAATTAAACAAGAGCAATTGAACTAACTGTGAAAGGTGTCAACAATAGAAAACTAAGTAACATTGGGGGTACCAATCTCCGAAAAGGGAGAACCTGGTAGGCGAATGAAGAGCATGAAAATGGTGCTACCTTTCCCATGTACCGGAGCAATTGCCGGAGCAGACACTAGACCAGACGCCAGTCTAGACCAAACACCCTGATCCACAGTCGCATGATCCGTCAAGAAGGTCTCTGTACCAACACCACAAAACCATCGGACCCGCCAAGAACCTGGGCCGGATGTTCTTGATAAAATCCGGCCTAAGACTCGTAATGTTGGACTCATTAATGACGACATATAAACTTTAAAGTGTTTAAAGAGTTCAAGGATCAAGGCCAAGCGGGGTTGCATGTGGCCGTTTATGCAAGTCGATTCTTTGTGTGAAGCTTTCAATTAAGGTCTTTGGCCATTTATATAATAGGCAACTAGGGCCATTAGGACATACTGTATACAGTTAATGATAGGGAACTTCTTCACTTAGTCTATTATGATATTGATGAATGTTGAACTCCTTGAGTGAGTGTAAGGATGAATTCCTTAATTGATGACAAACTTGTTATGGTGTCTTTTAAGAGAATTTTTCACCTTGAGGTAATCCTATAGTCTAAGGTTAATTAGGTTTTAATTGAATAGGTATTTGTGATATATATTTCATGTGTTCTTTCAATTCCCTAATTAGTTCGTTTCTACATATTTATTTTTCTATCATTTTCTTTATTCATTGTTATTTTGCTTTCGCTTTTTACGTATCATCTTGTTATCAGAGTTAGGCTAAGAATTGTTCCATCAATTCTTGTTTATTGCTACTGATTTATTTCAAAATCAAAAAAATTGAAAAATCAGAAATTAAAAAAAAAATTCCTAAAATAGCTTTACTGTTGGTCTAATTTCCGAAAATGTTGAGTTCCATTAGTTTGGGTGTTCTAAAAATTCATATGTGTTTGAATATGTTGTTCAACTAAGGCTCAAATCATTGATGGGACAAATTATAATGGATTGACTCCTTATTTGTTTAAATTCAAAGTGTTGCTTTGGGTTTTTGATGAAATCTGAATTTGTTATGGATATCTGAACTCAAGTGTAATTAAATGATTATAATAAATTGGTACTGATTGTTTGAACTAAATATAGAAGTTTCGGTGTTTGAAACTTTAAAGCTCGTCGCTGGGTTCTTTGGGTGATTTTAGTTTAAGATTTAAAAAAAAAATGTGGCTGGAATTCTTGAATTTGTGCTTTTTGCTGCGTGAAATTGATTGATTAAATATTGGTTTCTGTTGGATCCGAGTTTATTTAGTGAATACCAATTGATTGGGAGAGTAAACTTGAAGAAGAAAGTCCAGCCATTGTTGGAGCTCGAAGCCTGGGCTGAAATTGCGGGTTTCCGAAATTTTTACTGGTTTTGACTAAATGTTGTTTTTAAAGATTGGGTATATAGTAGGAAACTTGTATGTCAAATTTAGTGAAGATTGGTGAGGATATGAGGTGTTTTTGGTTGGATTTGGGATTGAAAAATGAAGAACTTGAAGAACAATATTGGAATCCTAGATTTTGCATAAATATCCCAAATTCAACAGTAAACATTTTGTGTCCAGTAGCCACTTTTCTCCCAGTGATTATTCTGTGCCCATTAGCCTCTTTCTCCCTGTGACCACTTGCGCACAATAACCAATTTGCTGGCCAATTTCTATGATAGCCTTCTTTCAGCTTATTTTTTTCTTTTCTTGTTTATTTTAGCTAGTTTGCTTAAATATTAGTTCATATTTGGTGATGAACTAGTTTTTGTGTACATTCTTGTATTTCATGCTAATTTTATTTGTACTTTTTTTTTATTTCGTTATTAATTTCTTGTTTCTATTGTACGTTAGTTAATTTAGCTTCTTTGTTGAGTCACATAAATTTCATTCTCACCCCAAAGTTGGAAGAACCATTTGAAAGTGTCTTGATTGAGTTTGATATCAATGAGTGAAAAGGCTTGAGCGTTGAGATTCTTGAGTGTTATCCTAAAAGCCGAGTACACAAGAGTGATATGCGAGCGGTAAAATTTGAGTGCAAACTTTGAGGAATAAAACAAGAGAGTAAATTGGAGAGGTCCTTTTATTTTTAACATATTACTTTGTTTGTCGGTACTATATCTTTGAATATTAGGGGTATTTCAACTCCAAAGGAGGGAGTATCTAATGACAATATTTTGGAGGCATTACAAGCCTTGATTATGGAAGTTGACAACATGAAATATACGGTCAAATCTCATGATAACCTTCTTAACCAGTGGCAAGGCTTATCACCTAATATTAACTAAGAAGTTGGAACTAGTGCAACACCATAAACTAGTTCTACTCCCACTACATCACACATTATAAGGCTAATCAACCAACACAAGTTGCTAACAATCAAATACCAGGACAAGGTCCGTTTTCACAAGATAGAAAAGCAAGAGTTGAGCATCAACAAAAACTATTTGACCAC